TTACTTAAAATATATCATATAACAAGTTAACAAGTGTTGCATATTGCATCTAAAGTTGTTTCATTCATTTTTTAAATTTTTGAAAATGATATTTTCTTTCAGAAATTTTTAATTTTTCTACCTATAATCATCTTTAGTTTTGTATTGAATGTTCTAGCAGTGGAACTAGCACATTTATTGAAATTTTTTTATATAATTAAATTGCTATCTAATAATTCAACGTTTTCATAATCTTGGCTTATCACCTCTTTTCATTAAATGAATTAAAGAACATTATTTATCAATTAAAATAAAAATTAACTTGAAATTTATTGTTTTTAGATATTCTTGATGTGAAGTTTTGTTGTGAAGTTGATGTGAAGTTTTGTTAGTTAATAATAATGACGTAAATAAAATTAATAGTGTTTTCAGATTACAACTTTAATGCTACCCTTTTTTTTAGTTGTTTTGCAAAAAATATCGAGAGTATTGTATATAAATCAAGGAAAAAATAATTTCATTACAAGATCTCCTAATTATTTTTTTATGTTCAGATGTTATGAATGTTGCAGTGTGATGTAATAACTAGCATTCCAATGGAGGCAATAGCATATATGACATTAAGCATGTGATAAATTATTCTTTCCTTTTGGTTTGGTATTTAATTTGCAGCAATGTTCGGTTAATTTCCTTTAGTCCTTTAGCTTAATTAAGATATACTACAATTGCATATATATATATAACTTGTTTGAAACTACATCAATTTATACAATTACAACTGCAGTTTATTTAAAATATAAAATGAATTGAACAAAAATGAAATGATTGCTTATTTATTCCTATCACTAGTAGTACGAACTACATGTTGTCATTTGATTTTGAGTCAAATAGAGCTTTTGGTGATTTAATAGAAAAGATAATAGTAATGAACTTAAGTTGTTATTATTTTCTGTTTATTTGATCGAAAATGATTTGTAAATCGTAATTAGTGCAATTTTTTATTTTATAGCAGTATTTGTTTCTGCAATTTACAACACATGCACATGCTTATGTTCCTATTTTTATTTTAGTGCTATTTTAATTGAAACATTTCAAAGACATTTACAAACTTTATATCTCAGTAACTGGTTTCTTGAAATTTCAAGCAAAAGAATGTAGCAAATGAAATTAATTTAGTACTTAGAATGTGTTTTTTAATGAATAGGAAGCAATTAACAAAAAACTTCTATTATCATTTGCTTGGTAATTTTTGAAATCTGAGTCGATTAATTTTAATTTTTCTGGAAGTTATCATTTATTCAAATATTTTATAATAACATTTATTGCTTTTTGTTGCCAAATGGTAATAAAACCATGATTGAGAAGGTTATTATGAAAAAATGGCTCGTGAAAAAATCAAAAATAAAGATGTCTGTTGCTTTCGGCAATTTAGGTGATTAGAGAAAAATTTCGGTTGTAAAAAGTAAGTTAAGAATATTTCAAAAGTTATTGTTTCATGCATTTAACAAGCTTTTTTCAAATAATTATAAAAATTTGATGTGTGACTTATTTAGATTGCAGAAAAAATCTATTCATACTTATTTCATACGAAATTGAAAAATTAGCAAAACAAATAAGTCTTTCAATAACTTTGGTTTTTTTATCTTTTTGCTAGACAGTTAATCCACTTTCCTCGGGGAATATGAGCGTTAAGAGGATCAGGACTTTATGCTATTTGAGAATATTATGAAAATTGCAAAATGATGTGTAAAAAATTACCTCTGTATAGTATTAAATTATATATGACTAAATTTGACAATCAAAATATTTTTGAGTTAAAACATACATACATTAACAATGGAGCAATTTAAGCTACTTTCTTAATATACAGCGTTAATTGGTGAAAGTTCAAACAAATATTAATTTTTTCAACTTATTTGTCACAAAACATGTTAACAGCAACCAAACTCACAATTTGGTTTTGTGCTTTGTCATATAACAATTCCCTAACGAAACTTTCATTACATTACAGTTTACAGTTCAGCAAATTTTTCTTATCATTAATTTTTTTTTTTATACATGTAATAATAGATAAAAGTGATAGTCTTTCCTAAAGCATAAAATTAATGTAAATGTTAAAATTTTGGAATTCGTAACTAATTTTTGTGTGAAATGTACCAATTTCGAAGAAACAGTATACTTTTATCTACTCGATACTTCAAGAGTTGTTCTTAACTTTGTATTTCATTCACAATTTTAACTCTTTGCGTCTTTTTGAAGTGTTATTATTAAATTGAATGATTATGAATTCAAAAGTTTCATAAGACGTAATCTTAATAATTTTTAGTTTTTTATCCAAAATTTTCAAGTTTGAACAAGGCTCATGATTTTAAACAACTTACTTTTGCGATAATATTCTTTATTGATTATTTTTGCATAATTTTTGAATTGCCTCTTGTGGACATTTTCACATGCTAATTGAATATGTTAGCTTGCATTAAAAGATGACACAAATCAGCAAAGCTTTGTGATTTATTTAGAATTCTTGCTAAGCAACCATTTTAGATGCATTAATTAGAATAGATGCTTGTAACAAATTAAGTGGAAAGTTATTGATGCAAAAACAAGCAAATCATTTGCTTAATTATGGGAATAGAAAACACCTTAGAATTATTGTTTTTTGCTAAGTTACTGTTTATTTAGAAGAATTGCTTGGCATTCATGTCTTTTAATGCTACTGTAGAGCATAAAAAGGAAATATACTTTATATGCTAGTGAATATCATTATAGCAGTGATCATCATCAAGTACATATCAATCAGTCAATCAATCAATCTATCTATCTATCGATCTATCTATCTATCTATCTATCTGTCTACCCACCTATTTATATATCTGTCTATGCCCTATGTCCTTATCTTTAATCTAGTAATTAAATGAATATCTTATTGGATAACCTTTCAATGAAATTATTATCATATTTTAATAAAAGTGTAACTTTACACTCTTCAAAAGTTATATTTGATGGGAGTCATTTTGTATAAATTTATCATCGCAAACATTCATACGAAGATTCCTTTCAATTTTATGTGCTATTTTAATTTCAAAATATCACACTAAGTAATATTTCATTTTAATTCAAAATGGTTTCTTTATTATTTGATACCAAATATAATTAAAACATTAAACAGAAATGAGGTGAGCTAGTTTTATTTTTTATTTTTTATTTCTAGCAATAGCAAACACGATAATTAACGAGCAAGTTCTCCCTTTTAAGCACAAATTTTTTGGCTTCAAAAACAATGATCCCCTCGTTAATCATGATATAATCCAACTTATATCTTATAAAATATGACTCAGTCCACTCTTTTTAGTCGCATAAGTTATTATTGGTTTCTAAAATCTTTTAAAAGCACTTGATGATTTTTAAACTTTTATAAAATTGTACTTAAACTGTAGAATTATTTTGTCCACTAAATGATTCTACAAAAATTTTTTATAATCTTAATCAATTAATACCACATAAGCTTTTAAAAGATCCTAAAAAATCTTAGCGGATAAAAACAAGCTGTTAATACTAGTAGCAACTTATAATGATTATTCATTTAATGCAAAAAAAGCAATATTTATGACAAAATGAACACCATTTTTATGTTAGTTGTGAAAATCTGGTTGACGGCTCTTAGTGCACCATTTTTTAAACTGATTATAATTATCTAAATAATAAAAGTTATTAAACGTATTAATTCTGCATTTTTTTGTCGCATAATTTTTTATCTTATACTAAAAATACTTTTTGAAACGCATTTGTTTTTCTATAAATTTCAAGGTTATTTTGCTCGTTTAAAATAAATCAAAGTTACTATTTCTTCAATCTCTTATGTAAAATTACCTTGCTATTTATCAAGCTTGTTTTCGAGTTAAGGCGTAAAATAGCAGGGTATTTTAATCAGTATTCCAATGTTCTTTGTCTTTTCAAGGAGAAGTTTTATCACCCTGGCAACGAAAATATTATGCTTGAGTATTTGCAAGTAATCACTAGCAAATTTAGAATTAACAGTGATTTGTAGTTAGTTCTATTGCATATTTTTAAAATATTCAATACTTATTTTATTTGTTAATTGCTTAAAAGATCAAATTGTAATGAAATTTGATACAAAAAAAGTTTTTATTTATTGGTGTTTAAAACCGTAAAATTTATTACAATTCAATCATCATATTATGCATTCAAATAAAAAAATGAACATATTAAATGGAAACAAACACAGCTCATAAAATAAAATTAATTTTTACAGCAAAAAAAACTTGCATTTAACATGAATATAGCGAAGGAATGTCATATTTGAGTGGTTCTTCAGACTTCGGTTTCAGTCTCATTACCAATATTTTTTTACTATTACAGTACACATAAATGTTTATTAGAAGCAATGATAAACTCATTAATTTGATTATTTGAGCTGTCAATTTAAACATAATTTGTGTTTGTATGAAAATAGAAGATAAATTTACAGACTGTTAAAGTTAATACTCTACTTTCAATATCCTAATGTCTGAATACGGTATAACCGTAAAGTAGAGTATTAACTTTGCTCATTATTCTTAGTTCTCTGCAGCACTTTTATCCGGATTCTTAAATTGCTTGGATCGTAATTTTACAATCACGTAAAATTTTGAAAAAACTTTTTATTAATCTCTTCATCATCAACCTTTTGATATTACTTTTTTTAAATTTCATTATTAAGTGTTAATTACATAATTACTTCTTAAACTTTGCTATTACTTTTATTACATAGCAATTATTCATAACGTTCATTAAATTTAGCGGATTTTTTTATTAAATACAATTTGACTAAAATTACTTGACATAAAAATTAGTTTCAAAATGTAATAAAAACGCCACAATTTATCTTATTTTTGGCATATTCTCATCAATTAATCAAATGTATTTTCTAGCCTGCTTGTTGACTACAATGTTTGCTTTTGTTGTTTCAGTAATTTGTATCTTTCTGTGATCACATTTATTTTTTTAGTTAAAATAAACAAATGGATATTGCTCTGACATCGTCTGGAGCAAATGTCGCTACATCTTCGTCCTCAGGGCGAGCTAAACGAGTACGTGGAAAGTGGACATCAGCATTTCGAGTAATGCAATCACTGCATCGTTTTAGACATCCGTCTCAAGACACATTTTCTGAGGTTTTTTTTTTTGATTTTTATCATGCACATGATATTAATTAATATATATTCAATGTTTAATTTGTGTTTGCTGTAATTAGTATGTTACCATTTTGATCTAGCTACAGTATGCTACAATCAATAATCAAATTAATCAAATCACTTATTTCATTGAAATATTTACGGTACAATGCTATACAATACTTTTTCTCTATTGAAATTGCAAAAAAATTATTTTTTTTGAAGAGAAACACCCTCAGGGAACTTTAAAATTTGACATAATTCATTTTTCCAATCAAACACTTGCATTTTTTTCTTGCTTTTAATCCATAAATATGCAAGTAATCTTAAAATTCATTTCTGAGCATGTTATTTAATGATTATTCGTTGCTGCTAAGCGCCAAATATAAATATATTAATGGCAGAAAGAATGACGACAGTGCCTCGCAAATCCATTTTTACTGTTCGTTTTCAGAAGCACAGCGATTACTCGACGGAATCAACACCTTCCAGGGGTATTTTTCTATCGTCTTTTCATTACGACTTTTTAACTTACTGATGTTAAAGAGTGACTAGGCAAGAGCAATAATATCTCTAATATGGTACCAAAAATTTGCTTTACTTTGTTAGATTAAACAAATGAAAGTTACGAATATTATATTGACCAATGTTAATTTTTTTTGCTCATTATTAAGTTTTTACAATATAATTTCTTTCATCTTAATCAGTTTCAATCAGTTTTAATTACTGCTTCTTGATCAGTTTGAATTACAGATCAGTTTTAATTCTGATCAGTTTGAATTACAGATCAGATTATAATTTAGCGCTTTCCTCTTTATTAATACATATATTGTGATATTTGTAATCAATTCCTCTTAAAGTATATGATGGAGAGAGTCAAAATACCACTACACAAATTTTAAACGTCTCTTAGAAACTCTATTTGTTATTCTCATTACTACAAACAAAACGGTTTCGACCTAGAAAATTGCTAATTTATAAAAAATAAATTTTCCAATAAAACTTTGCATCTTTGGTAGCAAAGATGCTGGGTAATTTGTTACTGTTTTTACAGTACAAAATCGGAAAGTATTTGCGATATGTGCTGAGATATAGCGCAATAATAAATAGAGATAGAAATAGAAATAATCAAGTAATAATGCTATACTTCAAAACTGAGGTCATCAAAAAATTATGATAGAAAATATGGCAAGTAGGAAATTAGAAGAATAATTGTTTTGTGTTTGAATAAAATTAAAGCATGATTTTTCAAGGAAATTTTGATCGTTTATTTTCATAGAAAGTAAAAATACCATGGAATCTTGAAGCACAATTCAACCATATAAAGGCATGCAAAGATGAATCCAAGCATATAACAGCGAGATTCACTTTTAAAATTACGAAACCAAAATTTGTATTGTACTATATATATATAGATATATTTATATCACGAATTTATGGCATATATGTGATCAGTTTCAAAAATATAGTTAAATCTGAATGAGTTATTGAACTAAATGAATGAGTCACATACTTTATTACTGTTTTTAAAATAAGTTAAGCAATTTTGATTTTTTCATGTATCATTTGTCAACACTGATTAATTTTGATTTCATTGTTAAAATACTTAACGTTTAATTTTCCTTGTCTAACAAAGATTATTAGTTGATCGAAATTGTATGGATACAACTTATGGATGAAGTATTAACATCTTTGCACTTCATCTTTTCACTTGTTTTGATAGCTTCGACAATTTCAAAATTATAGTTTGTAGTTCAGACGGTAAAAAGTGGAATATTTTAGATGAAACATTGATATAGCTTGATTTTTAGCAAAAGTTAAGTACTGCATTAATATGATTGTTAAAACCTAAGTCAAGACGATGAATTTGCAGTAGATAAGAAATTAATTCACTTGTACTGTATGTAATATGAATTCAGAGACATTTTTTTAAAAAAATGTAAAGATTTGAGCACAAATAATTAGATTATCTTGTTCATATTTCATGGATGCCTTGATATAATTCATTTGTTACTTATACATTCAGTTAAGTAATTAATTATAATCAGCATAATTTTTGAATACTTTTAAGCCTTCTGAACAGTACTCTGAATTATATTCATCATTTTATTTCCAAATCATTCCATTTTTGTTTTGGGGAACATAGCATACGTTTTTAAAAAGATATTTCCAACTAGCTTCTGCTTGAATTATTATAGATGAAGCTCAATTAATATGAAATAATGGCTCATAATTTCATTTCTTTCAAATATTCTTTCAAAAAAAAAGAAACTGCTGTTCTTTTTTTGCTTTCAAAACCTATTTTCATTTATGATAATTCACTTTGAGCAAATTTGACAACTGCAGTTTTTCATTGTTAATAACTCTTCATATGCCACGGAGTTAATTATTAAAAAAACAACAAGTCCCAAATTTTTAACCCAACTAAATAAAAAGCTGTGAATATAAATTAGAAATGAAATATGAATTGAAGTAGAAAATTTTATCGAATTAATTATTTTTATTTATAGATTACGATAGTTTTCTTGCTTGCTATTATTATAACCATCAAAAATAGCAGTAATTCATAACGCTGTTTACCATTATTGCTAATGTTAAATATCACGACTAGATTTTATTTTGAAGAAATAATTTTCTGTAAACAAAATTCCATTATTAATTTTTTCTCTATTATAACCAAACAATTGTCTTGTCATTTACTTTACTTTAACTTACTAACTTTATTTGCTAGATTTTTTTTTCTCATTTTTTAGAAAAAATAATAGGATCTTTGTTTTCTTGAAGAATGCAAGCTGTTTGCATTACTCAGTTTATTTTACTGTAGTCAGTTTTTTAAAACAAGATATAAGCTTTGATGTTTTAAGTACATCTTTATCTTTGCAAAAATACCAAATTGCATCGTAAATAATTTTTTAATTAAAGATGAACCGATTCATTGCAAAACAAATTTGCTCATAAAAATTAATTTTTCCATTAAGAAGGCTTCAACTGCTTACAGAAAGTATTGAACTGAAAATGATATGCACTGCTCGATGCAAAACAATTTTTTCCTTGTTTACTTACTTAATGTTAGTGTGGACAAAATGTGAGATTTATTTATAAAATGCATGTAATATGCATCAAAAATATTATGTTTTTGTGATTAATCAAACTTACACAATCTATAGATTTAGTATGACTGGAAATATGCTTGTTATTTTCTTTCACTTCAATTTTTTTTAATATTATTTAATTTGTTTGCTATCACATGCCATTTGTATAGAAATATAATTTGTAAGTATTGCATATTTTTTGACGATATGCCTTGACAATTAGAATAACGAAAAGTTTGAATAGTACTGATGCGGATATTAGTATTTTTTCGCATCTTGCTAACAGTACTCAAAAAATGGAATGTTTTTTGTAATAATGTGATTTGGTGAATTGTGGGGAAGTTTTATTTGTGACTTGATGTGTAGGCTAATTAATAATAGATTATTATCAGTGATCTATTGTTTTTGCTTATTTGTGACTTTTTTATCAATACCAGTTCATATTGTTTAGAAAACATTTTAAAATGACTAACCTTAATAACAGTTATTTTGACAGGGAAATACGAATTACTTCGCAACAAATCCTTGCTAGATGACTTTAGCTCATCACATTTTCATTTTGATTTTTTTAAATTTATCAGTTTTTCGTTACTTACAGTTTTTTCTTTAGAAAATTTTTTTCAAAATTGCTACTTGAAGTATTAAAATAGATAATTCATAGAGATCAAAAAAATAGTAATTTATTAGCGAAGACATATTATACCTGAAAAGTCGTATTGTTAATCACTGTTTGATGAAAAAATTGCTAACAAATACAGCAAAATAAATCTCAATTGGGCTTATGTTTTTGCTTAATATTAATTTTGCTAAGTTAAATCATCAATTATTTATTCAGTTCCACTGAAATTTGGCAAATTTGTGCTTCATTGCATTTTTTCACACATCTATTCATACATTTATTCTTTACTTTTTATAATTAAAAAAATCTTTTTTCATAAAATTCTATTGTTATAACACGAAAATTTTTAATATTTCAAAGTTCTTAGCATTAAATCCAATTTTGGTCTTATTTAATGCAAAAAAATTTTTTCATTAAATACTTATTTTCTATTTTCTAGCAAAAACTGTCATTCAGTTTGTTTCATTCAATCTTTCAAATTTATTCTTATTTAGTGTGTTAAAAATTTGTTGATTTAATAGTGATATTTTTCATAATTTTAATTTATTTGTAAAAAATTTTGAGGAAATTAACAAATTTTGAAAACAAACGTTTTGAATTCGCTTTCATGATTATTTATAAAATATAATTTTAAGCGACAAAACCAGCTTGAATTTGTTCTTGAAAATGATTCGCTGCTGCAAGAATTTATCCACCTTCTTTTTTTTTCTTGTGTGAAAGATTAGAAAAAATTGTGTGGGCAGAATTATTTAAATATTTTGTGATAATTACACTAGCACATTTTAGATATGAAATTAAAGTTTCAAATTTCAATGGAAAGAATAATGTAAAGTTTCTATTCACTTGTAACCTCTGCTAATAGCCTTTGATTTACTTCAATTCTTTCGCACTTAAAAATTTAGAAACAAACGTAGTAGATCCAGTTTATTTGGCACTTAAGCAAGCAACTGGTATATACGGACGCCGAGGTTCATCAATACAAAATTTTGATTCCGCTACATCATCACCTCGTGATCTGTCATATGCATCACTGCAAGATTCTGGATATGTTGAAGTAAGTCCCAACCGAGGTGCAATGATCAGCTCAACTCCTCAACTTAACCAATCAGGTAATTGATTTTTTCTTTCATTAATTCTGATTTTATGAGTAAAAGCACGTAAACTATATTAAATCATTTGATTTTCTGCCAAATTTTTTAATTATTTTGAATTTTTCATAAATTGTGATAACTTTATAGATTTGTAAGTTTAATTAGTATAAAATTATTTGATGTAAAAATGCAGAAAAAATTGTGCTTTATGCACAATATATAATCAAATATAAAATCAGTTGAATTACACTATGCAAACTGAGATGCATAATAAAAACGATAGTTAAATGTAACTAAAATGCTCTTTAGTAAAAACACGATTAAAACTAAATAAAGAAGAATGAACTGAAACAAAATATTCTTGCCTTTTGTTTACACTATTTTTATGCTTGGTGCATATCAGAAGTGTTTTTAATCTTAAAAACTGACATAGTGAAAAAAAACTGATACTCGTTCAACGTTTCACTTTATAAATATCCCAAATTTGTCCGAAGCTCAAGAAATCTTCAATTGTGTGCAAACATGTTTTACAATTTATTAGATTCTTCTCCACCTCCAGAACCATTATCAGTGTTACTCAAATTTTTTACTTTTGTTTATTGCTTATATTATCATAGAATAGTTAGAATATACAAATTTAATTTTTTAAATTACCCAAAGTTCACATTTAAAAAATAATAGCCTAATTTTCAATTTGTACTTTTGCATACTAATATGGAAAGACTATGTGAAATGAAGTTAAAATTCGAAAGCATTGTTACTGCCATTGATATTTTCATTATTTCTTGTAAAAAAGCAATAAAATTATATATGCTTATATATAAGTTCCAAATGTTCTAAGAAATAAAAAATACTGAAAAAATGAATATTTAAAACATTTTTAGTGATCATTCTAATCTATTTTCTTCTATAGTCTTTAATTAAATGCAGATATTAGCATTTTTTATTGCTGCATTATATTCTATTTTTGCAACAAAGGTTTAAATAAATTGCAAAACCAAAAAATAACTTTATATTTTGAAAACATCTTATCATTTTTTTGATATTTTTACTTAGGACAAAAACTTAAATTGAATAATTAATTACTTTATGAACTGCTTTCAGCGGTTAAGTGATTTTCCAGTCCTATTTCTCTTTAAATATTTTATTACTTTTTGACTGTGTGTGCAATACAAATCACACTTCAGACTATTTTCGGCTAAGATATGTATATTCAAAAATAAATATCATCTTGCTTAAGAATCTTTTTCAAATAAATAAATGAAGTCTTTCATAAATCAAAAATGCTATTAAATATTTTATAAAGAAATAATGAGCTCAAATTGGATTTGATGGCTTTCAGAAATTTCTCGCAAGCTAAATATTACTGTTAAAAACAACTTTTTTATTTAATTTCTATGAATTTCCATAAATTTTATATATTTTCAAAACAAATTCCGTCATGGTAATTAGTACTTTGATAACAAAAGCAAAATGCAGCAGCAATTATGATTCTTGGACGGCTATAATATCGTGTAAAATATGCTTGACCCTAATTTAATATTTCAAGCACTAATTAAGATTATACATGCTATGTTTACTCCGTACAGCATGTGCTAGAATTGTTAAGAAGATGCTTGGTATATGTATGAGGCAATCATCTTTGAATAAAATTTTATCGATGGGTAGTTTGGGCCTAACAATAATTTCTATAAAAGTTTGCAGGCGGAGGAAAGCGCCGTCCACCGAAATTACAAAAACAGATGAAATCGCTATCATTGGATTGTACTGATTCGCCACCTTCCATGGCAAATAGCGTACATTCACGTAAGTTTGATCATTCTTTCTTTCTTTTTCTAAATATACAATGAATATCTTATAAAGATCTTTTTTTTTCATGACCTAGTACCCGAACCGAAAATTCTGTAATTTTTTTGCAGTTAAAAATTTCTCAAGTTTTTAATTATTGATGTTTGCAAAAGAATAAAAAGGTTTAGGGAGAAAAATTAATTCAAATTTCTATTTGCATTAAAAATATGCGATAATATTGATTAGTTAAAATGATAATCTCACTGATTATTACCATAAAATTTGAGATAGCAAAAGAATAAATTGACCATGGGAAGAGTAATACGAAACTAATATATATAATGATCTAAAAACTAAGATCAAAAGAGCTTGTGGATTTCATATCTAAAGAAGAGATCAATTAATTATTAAGAGAAGAGATGATGCTTGAAATTTTTAAATGCATTCAATATTAGAAATCGCTGAGGAATTTTTAACTAAGATCAAAAAGAACAAATTTTTACACACTGTTTTTCAATATTCTAAAAGAAAACTTACTGTCAACAGCGAATCAGTGAGCAAATATAATATTTGCATTTTTTTTAATTAATTGTATTTTTATGAACATTTTTATTTTATCACCAAGCGATTTTCGATATTGTATAAAAACAATAGCTGCAATAATTTATGCTTATCTTGACAAATGAAATTTGTGAAAAACTTAAGAGAATGACAGCAAAAAAAGTTTAATCAAATAATTTCAATCGCCACCTTTAGCAAAAATTTGTGCATTTCTTATTTTATATTTAAAATCAAATTTGATTGCGTAGTACGATAAAATATTTCGAACAATTTTATTATAAGATCACAATAGTATTTCTATTTGTTTTTAGTGGAAAGATCATTTTTTAATATTTAGGAAACAAATTAGCACCAAGCACATTGCACTGCAATAATAGTTCTGGAGACATATCAGAATGGGAGCGTAGTCGATCATCGTCTGGTCCATCTCCTCGATCAACTCCACGTCGTATCAGTTCTTCAGATGGTTATCTTTTTGGCTACAAAATGATATTCATGTAATCATATTACTGCAATATTTCATTAAAACTTTTTCTGCAATGCTTATTATTCTTTTCAGTTTTACAAGGATCTCATGTAGTCATTCATGAATATGTGCCTGAACCTGACAGAGCCTTATGTTTAGGCGATCGACTAAGAGTTGTTGATAACGGTGATCCTGACTGGCTTTATGGTTTCAAAGTGATTGCTTTCTTAATTAATATTTTCAAATCATTTCGTTAATAATAGTTGAATTTTTTTTGATTTTCAAATTCATTTTTGTAGTATTTGATATTCGTAGACATTACTTAAATATCAAAACTCAAAAGTTATACTAATTAGATAATTTATAGACTGGTGATCGAACAGATCGGCTGATATCTTTTCCAAGTACTTGTGTTGCACTGATTCATCCTGGTGAGCAACCAATGTTACTCAGACAAAATGTTCATATACCTGAAGCGAAAATGAGACTTTATCGTGATCAGGCAAGCATGTTATAATGTGTTCAGTTAATTTAATGCTTTTAAACTCCAATTATGTTTTACTATTAAGAATCAAAAACTAATAAATTTTGAAGGAAAAATTCATCATTTTAGGTTGTATTTGCACAACCAGATTCCATTATTGCTGGTCGCATATTGGTACGTACAGAGCGTCATGCTCTCGTACAATGTCCGCTGCAACATCTCATGTTACTTTGATCAACAGAAAGATAAACCCTATTTGATCATAACTAGAATCAGTAATAATTTATGAATGTGAAAATCAAAAACATTGATTGTTACTTTCATTATTATTTTCTTTCAGACAGATTCACTGATTATAGGCTATGCTTGAAAAGTAAAATGTATCATTTATGATAACTCTTTTGAGCGCTTAATTTCATTATTAAATTATTTTTCAATACATTTTATAATAATATATCAAAACGATTTTTTAATTTTTTGACGAGACCATTTTACTCTTTTCAATCATATCATATTTTTGTCATTTTATATTTATCACCGATTTTTAACTCAACAAGTATGATGCTTCAACTTATTTTACCACTGCTTTAAACACAATACTTAGATAACGTTGTAATATAAACATAGTATAACTATTTCAGCAAAAAAATATTTGTTATTTCCAGTTTCGGATTAATCAAGAATCATCGGGAAAAATATATGACTGTATGAAAAATACTCGTACAATATAATACTTTATATTTTAATTATAAGCGTGAAGACTTCTTCATTTTCAGTGCTAATTATTTGACATTTAAATGAATTATTAATCTTTATTTGTGAGTTATTTTTGGATACTATAAATTAGATATATCAGTCATATTCTCATTTTTCAAGCTGTATATGAATACTCATTTCTTCAGCGCATGCTTTCATGCATTCTGTGTGTGTGCTTTTTAATTAAGATAGACTTAGAAGTTTGTAACAATGATATAAAAATGTTGAAAATAAGCAGCAGAAGAATTAGGGAATGTAGAATGCACCACTTAGTTGGCTCACAGAGAGAAATTGATTAAAATAATTGAATTAATATTTTTACAGTGTCTGAATGAAACTTTTTTTTCTAATAGATTAAAATTTGCTTGGAATTCATCTCTTAATTATATCATGACCTTTGAAAAGGAAATAATGCAGTTCTACTGAAATGCTGAGATTGTTTCTAGCAAGTTAGCTGATTTTTTGTTAAAAGTCAGTCCCCAAACTTATAAAAACTTGCACAACTTATGGTTTTCATGAAACTTTTATTGCTGTGGAGTTAGAGAATTCTATAGAATAATATCTTTTATTATATTACATAAAAGTATCAAATCATAATTTGTAAATCTTGATATGATTGATTGAGAATTGATAACTATTTACAAATAAACAATTGAGCAAATATTATACGTTTTCAATACTTCAGTATTCAAAAATTATTCTCAAACAGATTGATTCTCTTTGCATCACAATGTTTTGAAGAGAATTATGAGATCAGCACAATTCATGCTTGCTTATTAGTTTGTATTTTGTTTCATTGAGCATTTCAATTCATGATTTATAATTGACTAATGATCTCAGATTTTAATAGCTGATTAAATCTTGAAAACAAAAAATAATTTAAGCCACAAAACAAAATGCAATCATAAATTAATCACAAACAGTTTCTTGTAAAAACTCTTCAAGTCAAGTTCTGCAAGAACTTTTATTTAGCACAAAATTTAAAAATTTTATAGAATTTGCTGTTTCAGTGAAATCAAGCAATTACAATTTATTTTAATTGAATCACACTGAAGACAATACGTTATGTTTGGGGCAGTAGTATTGATGAAAAGTGTTTTTTCTTCAAATTTTAAATAAATATTGTCATGTAATTTAGCATTATTTTTGTAATAATATCAATTTATAAATATATTTTTGAGAAGTAGTTTCAATATTAGATACGATTTTCTGCAAAATATTTCATCAACAGTATTTTTTATATAATCAGCTGATTAGCACATTTTCTGGTAGCATTTTTTCTTAGTATTGTTATCTTAATACTGATAAGTGATAATCGTCATCTTATAAAGATATCATTGCGATTTTGAGCGATTAGTATCTCGTATTTAATGCTGTTTTATCACGATATTTACTGACTAACATTATTGATATACTTGTTTTCAGTACTTATATGAAGTGATAGAGATTTTTTGATACTATAATTGTAATATCCGATGACGGTTATCATTTACAGTACTTTTAGATAATAATTTTAACTAATTAGACATTATTGCATTGTTTATATCCGCTTGCAATTATTTAATCATTATGATAGAGCAGTTATTTTTGAAGTGGTGTTTGCTGATTGATATTACTTTTATGATAATATTCTTTTACCATTCTTCAATAATATTCATTACTTGTACTGATATGGTTTCCAATTATAGTAAATGAAATTATTTTCATGATATCAAAGAAATAATTTCATTATTAATAATATTACATTGTGATACTGATCTATTAGTTTTGCGTCATATCATTTTCTCATCAAACTTACTGATTAATACCTATCGTATGTTATAATTTTATTAAGATATTGATTAATCAATACTTTTTTGGTTTGTGTGATATATCTGTGCATTTTGGGATTATTCTGATAATATATTACTGACGAATAATATTTGTTTAAAAAAAAAATTCATTAAATGACTTTGCTCTATAGACATTAATGAGTTTTATTTATGTTCATATTCTTCTGTAATACTTTTGTGATGAATGGATGGATACATTGATGGAAATTATTTTGATAGTAATATCAAGCGATTCATACTTTTTACAATAACTTTTGCTTATGCTGTTCTTGCTAGTGCGTAAAAGTGATACATATTTCAATAAAAAAGGCAGAAAAATAAACAATTGGTGAATGAATTTGATTAAATAACAAGTATAAATCCTTTTAAGTTTGAAAAACTTTTTTCAATAATATCAAAAAAATAACTTAACAACAATTGTGCACATGTACTACTGTTACTTAATCTGCTTTAATTTCAACTTTTATATATTTTTAGCAAATATTTGAGTTATTTTCAAGTTAATACATCGTAATAAAATATACTGGATAGCAAAATGACTGGAAAATTTCCAAAAATGATTTCTTGATCTTCTTCAGTTAACGACACTGAATGTTAATTATAAGCAGTCTATTTTTCACATTCGTTTATTATGATACAAATTTCATTCTGCTCATAGCACATCTGGAATGCATCAATTTCAATTCAAATAAAGAACACATAGTTTAGACCTGATTTATAGTACCACTGCTGTTACTGAATCTATTCGATATGAAAGTAAGCAAAGAATTGACTTTTTTTCAGCTTATTCAAGCTTGATAAATATTGAATAGAAGTGATAATTCTTAAATTATATAGAGAATCAAATTAATTGATAAAATAACCGATAATGACAACTGAAAATAATTGGTAATAAAAAATGCATATCTCATTCATTTGCAGCAAATTCTTTTCCGGTATACATTTTTGATCTGCAACAACTATTGCTGTAAAACTATGCCATCATATAGATCAAAATAAGATGCTGAAAACTACATATTACAATATGTAAAAAGAAAAATCGAAAAAATAATACCGTGACGTGTGAAAGATGGGTATCATGATCATTAAATGATAAAATTAGGAATAATATTGAATAATGCTGATGTCAGTCCGAATGATCATCATGATGGTCATAAGCAAAGAATGTGTGGGTTGAATTAATCAGTCATATGTGTAGTATGTTTCTGCTTGATAACAGTACTTAAATAATAAGACAAAACTTTTTAGTTTGAATATTTAAACAAAATATCATTGGGTAATGAATATTTAACATCTCTTATTTATGAGTAATTTTTGTTTGTCAAATTTGTAAAAATAATAAATTTTTATGTGCATAAATTGCTCCAAACAAATTTAGTTTTTCATTATGGTATTATTTTTTTCAGTATTTGTTAAGCTAAAATGCAAGTATCATATATATTGCATCATCTTGCTTCTTGTCATCCGGACGATTTGCGCTATCGTGCAACAATTCAAAAATCGTTAAGAATTTTAGAAGAGCAAGAAGGGGTATAAGAATAAGTTATTAACGGAACTTGTACAGATTTTGAATATCCAAATGTAGAAAAGCAGTTACTTCTTAAATAAATCAAAGTTAAAAGTATAGAATGTATTATGCATTATGCCTGCAACCATTTCATTTATACTTTTTCAGTATTTGAAAGATTTCGGTATTGGCAAGCATCAATTTTACCCCAGAGATGTTAGTGATGAGGAATATGTCAGGCGGTACTTGATTATAGGTAACACTCATGGTGCTTATTATTCAAGACAAAGGGACTTTGAAGAGACTATATTGCCAGAATTAGGCTACATTATTGCAAGAGGTGAGTTAGTTAAAGTTCTGGATTATTTTGTTCCTTTTAGTATTTGAGATAGACAATTTAACACTAAAAGTATTTATCACATAGCTATCAAAAATTGATAAAATTATTTTTGTACTCAAAAAAATTTGATTTTCATTCATTTTTGTTGCAGTTTAATTTGTGGGATTACCTTTTTTCACATTTCATCATTAATAAATACAAACTTTGTGTGCATTATCTTAATATATACATTTTTTTATAATAGGAAATGGTTTGATGATAATAAAACTAATTTTGGAGTTCGCACAATCAGGTCAAGCACCTAAAGTAGAACCGTTACTCATTGCATTAGCTCACTGTGCGCGTTTTCAGGTTTAGTATATTAATTGCTACAGACTTTTTTTTTCCTACAAAAATCCGCTATCTTTATAAACAAATCATAATGATAAACTTTTTCAATTCTTTAGAAAATAATTTAGGTTCGCGATACTCAGAGCAAGAAGAAACTGCCTTGGGATGCTAAAAATGATGAAGAAAAATTGTTTCCAGATGACCTCTGTCATGATATAAGGCCAGCTATGGAAAGTTATTATCAGAAATGCCTTCAGCATGTTGCTCTTCACTGTGTTCATAGGGTAACTTAAATTCTACTAAAGCATTTTCATTTTAGAAAAGGAATTTTACATTTGAAGGGCTTTTTTGTTTCTGAACCAATTTCTCTTACAAATGAAGTTTTCCACTTCTACTGCATACATACAGACATTGTCTATCAAAGATTATCTTTCATATCATCATTAATAATTATCTCATAAATATGGTTATGTTTGCAAGTAAGGAGGCATTGTTTTCATTAATAGATCTGTACTGATTTATTAATTTGATTTACAGATCTGTACTGATCCTATTAAACTTTTCAAATTTATTAATTATTGCAAATCAGTTTCTAAATCTACTGCACTTAAAAAAGAATCTAAAGGTTGGGGACGTGCACTTCGTGCAACAGTTATCAAATGGTTTGCTTTTAATTTATATTTATCATTAAAAAATGATTACTTATTTCACTATCATTATTGTGATAAAATACGCATGAAGTTTTGTAAATTATTCTATTTACTCTATGCTAAAATGGAATTATTCTTACACTACTTTGCATTTTCATGGTTAGCAATAGACATACCAGTTGTTTTTCATACTATAATTGTATTAGACGTGTGTAAAATAAGTTTTGCAACATTCAAGGAGAAAAGTATTGTTTTTACTGGTAAATGAATTAAAGGTATTATAACAAAAGTCCAGAACGCTTAGCTGTCTTAGTGACAAAATATCGGAATCGAACATTCTTCTCACATCGTGATCTCTTTTGCTTAAGTCATATCCGTCCTAAGCTTACTTTTTCACGGGAAAACAACTACTGGAAACATTATGAGGATTATGAAGGAATTGTTCAATATGTCGCTCGAGGTGTTTAATATTTTTGGCTATTTTAAAATAATTATTATATTAAGTAACGAATTTTTCTACTTTCGTTATTATTTTTGTATTATTTCAAGTATTGTTTTAAAATTTTGAAAGAAGATATATGGGGTGGATTCTAGAGATTTTTCAAATTAAACTGAGAAATCAAAAATAGTCTAATTAAGATTTTGCTACCACTTTTAAAAATTTAAAATATAGAAGCAGTCGAAATTTGAAAAATGTTCCGAAACTATGTTCAATTAATTTTTACTCTTTCAATATTTTTCTACTCCTTCAATTTTTTCAAATGAAATAAAGTACGAACTGTTGCTTGTATATGTGCAGTTAATTAGAAGTATTGTAATAAAAGTTCGGAATATTTGCTTTTTTTTTGTGACAAAATTTTGGAATTGAACATCTTATGCATATTATCAATTCCTTAAGTTATATTACTCTTAAGCTTCTTCAAAAGTATGATGTGAAACTGATCATTTGGTTAAAATATATGTAATTATGTAGGATTAACTTTAGCACAATCTTAAATTTTAGGTGGTGAAAGAACCAGAAAGATGAAGCAAGAGACATTTGAAGTACGACAGTGGAAGCGAAGTCGTTTGAATCCTGAAGAACTTCAACGTTTGGAACAAGGATTTGATGAGTTGAACATAAAACGAAATGAGAAACTGAAGGTTATTGAAGCGGTAGTAGAAAAATACAGAATAAAAGAGAAACAAAAAGCTGTTCCAGTGAAAAATGCTCGTGATTATATTGAAGCTTTTGATAAGTTTCGTTACATGAATTTCCAAGACGAAGAAGAGGCAGTTAGACTTATTCTTCAATATGGTGATTTTTTTTCAAGCTGTACCAAGACATTTTTAGGCATCAAAATTAATTCTTTATTACTTATTTACTTTTCTGTTCTCTGCTCAAAAATCTATACGATTCTTGAACAAGCAAACAATTTAGGCAAACAATTTTCTTGCTTACCAAAAATATCTGAAATTAATAATTACAATAATTAATATAACTACAATTCTGCCACCAAATTATCAGCACCGGTACTGTGTATTTTAGGTTTTGAAAAAGAACATGTTCCTCTTGAATTACTTGGATCTAAAAAAGTTTGGGGTGCTATGCTCAGAAATATGCCAATAAGGACATTACTGGCTAACATGGGTATCATGGGTAGTCTGGAACTTTTCAGTTGGAATTCTAACGTGTAAGTAATTTTAAACTTATGAATTTCAAATGTGGGTTGAAAAGATTGAATTTTCGGTTTAAAAGTTCTCCCATAAATCTTTAATATAACTATATGAAAATTTATGATAATTTGGTTGAACATTGTGTAAAAATAGTTTACTTGTGCTCATTGTTGAATTTGCAGTTTTGATGAATTGAGTGAAACAATGAATAGCATAGACGCATTCTTCAACAGTGGTGATGAAATTTACACCGACTTTGCAGGGTTTTTTACTTATTACAAAAAAATTGCAAGAAAAACTATTATAAAGAATAAAACATATATGATATGATAAATTTGATTCTTCAATCTATAATATATGATCATCAAGTACTGATATATTTTAGGGACAGTCCAGCACAATTAGTAGTCAGAAGACTGAGTGATTCCGTCAAATTAGAAGCAGCAGGATTTGATCCACTTGAGTTGTTGTTTGCTAAAGCAAGTTATGAGTATGGTCAAGCACCAAGAGGTAAATACTATTGGAAACCAGATGTGCATATACAGAAAGCTTTTGATTCTGCATTCTATAAAAGCCTTGGAGGGTTTCCTGCAACTGGCAAGCGATATTTGCTTTCTATCGATATCTCTGGTTTGTTTTTAAATTGAAAAGTTGAAGAAAAAAGAAAACGTATACGGCTTATTAATACTCAACATGAAAGATTTTTTGATTCCAACATTCCAAAATGTTAGTGTCAAAGCAGAAGAGGTAACAAAAACTGTTCAAAAAAACTTTTCTTTTTTTTAAATTTTGACAAGGATAGTTTTGTACAACACAAGTTAATTTTTAACTTTTTGATTTTGAATCGATTTTCGCTATATGATCATTAAAGTTTTGTAATTACAGAAAGCATGGATAGTTTTGTGAATGGTGCTATGCTAACATATAGTCAGGTAGCAGTTGCATATGCGTTAAGTCTTCTTCAAAATGAACCAAATGTGAGCATTATCAAAAAAAGAGAAAAAATTTTGCTTCTTGTTTAATTCTGTGATCAATTTCCTCTAAGAAATTTTTAATCCTTCTAAATAAGATTTTAACTATTAAGTAACTTTATAATGATTTCAAGTGATTGAAAAAATTCTTATTCTCTTCTGAGTATAAAATTTTCATTTAATTTAATTTAGGTAAATATAGTAGCATTCTGCTCCAATCTGACTCCTTTAGAATGGAAAAAGGATATGAGCATAAGTGAATGTCTTAGCGTTGCTAAAACGTTAAAATATGGCACAGTAGATTGCTGTCATCCTATGTATTGGGCAATAGAAAATGCAGTAGAAGTTGATGCATTTGTTATTTTCACGGATATCAATGTCTTAATTAAAACAGTTAATTTTTTCTTTTTTTTTTTTCAAATATTAAAACATTAAAAAGTTACAAGAACTATAATTTGGAAGATGATTTACTGCAATTTTCGCGCAGTTTTCACTTAAAGAAGTTCAAAACTGCTTACATGTATGGATAGCGAGATTAGATCAGTTTAAAATTTGCTTAGCTTTTGTAATTTAAATTTCGCTTTCTAAATGACTGAACAAAATGAAATAACAGTCTTTCAGGTAAAACCATCAGATGCTATCAAAATATATCGCGAGCAGATGAAAATTCCAAATGCAAAGTTAGTAGTCGTAAGTATGAAGGATTTTGCGCTATCTATGATTACTTCCAATGATCCAGATATACTTATTGTATGTGGTGTAAATTCAACTATTATTAAAGTAATTAACAGTTTTATTGATAATTTCGGAGTTGCTCGTCCATAATGTTTTTCTTAACTCAAATATTGTTATTTGATTAGTTTATTGATCATAAGTTTTGTGATAATTTTGGTCATTTTTTTGGAGTTTGAAAGTTTGATTTATTTTTATGATTTCTGTATGCTGAAAACTTCTATAGAAATAAAATGTACTCTGTATTTGTTTTTCAATTTGTTTAATGTCTTTAAAATTTTAATTTTTAATATTCATAGGCAATATTTCAATTTTCAAAATAAATGTGTTAATTGAATTTGCTTTACACTGAAAGATTCCATGTTTAAAGACTTGAAAAGAGTTCTGCTTACGAAGTTTAGAAGACTGATTATGTAGAAAATTGTAATTATTACATAAAGAAGAAATATTAAGAGAGATAAAGCACAAAATTATAATGCAAAGAATTGGAAATAGTTGTCAACAAACATGCTTAGTAATAATAATATAAATATTGCTTCCACTGTACCTACTTCTAGCAGCAAGCACTGACAGTCATAGAAATAAACGTTGTTTGTTAAACAATAAATACTTTTACAAACATACATAAATAATAGAAATGAATGAAAAGTACTCTTTCTATAACTTTTCATTTTTTGTAGTTTTATCTATACAATAGTTGCATTTTAAAACTGCAATTTGTCTGAATATTCAGTCGTTCAGATTATGAACGCATAAAGTGTATCGATGAATGTTACCGATTGAATAAATAATCAAATGAATTAGATTTGAAATAGACTTTGGATTAGGTCTAACGTGGTTATTTTGATATTTCTTTTCAAAAAAAATTATTTCAGCTAAAATCAGTTTCCTTCGGAAAAAGTTTTGTATTTACTACGAAGAAATAGTTAAAGAATTACCATAATAATTGAAAATTTTGCATTTTTCTTTTGGTTGATATGGTGTAGCTCCCCAATTTGTTTTGTTCTATAGATAAAAAAAGAGATTTGTTACTTTTTTTGTACAAGAAAATATTTATTTTATCAAAAAACAGCTTTATAATTATTTTTTCATTTAGTTTTAATTATTGTAACAACCTCGAGCTTTCATTTTTTTTTAGATCGTAAGAATGAATACTTTGAAATCGAAAAAGTAATTTAAAAAATTTACGAAAGTATCAGTCTTCAGTAAATAATAAGTTTAATTTCATATAGGTTGTATGAAGAAGGAAGAAGCTCATCGCTTTCAAGCCCGATTAGTTGGTGGGAATTTAATTGAATTACCGGTGGAACAACTGCGACGTATTGCAAACACAAGTGGTGTTGATTCTATTGAACAAGAAACCAAGCATTTTTCATGTAAAAAATTTGAAAATGTGTATAATTTGTTAGAATTTTCCAAAAATTTACATTAAATGAGTGAAAACTTCAAAGTTTTTCTTAAATAA